TAATGGTATTAAAACTTAAAAATACTGAATTTGAGATTAATATGTCTGATTTGATAGGAAGCGCAAGAAATAAACACTTTACTGTTATGTAATATAAGATTCTGAGTCTAAAAACATGTAAATTATATTTCAAGAATTTATTATTAAAATTTTATATAAAATTAATTTAATATTTTTAATATTTTCATAGTTTCTGTATATTAAAGGTTATTTTTTATTAAATTAAACTTTAAAATAATTAGAAATTTAATTAAGATATTCATTAAAAGTCTAGACTCTAGAGACTGATTTCCCAAAGAATATGCAATACATAAAACCTTGGGATTTTAAGTAAACAGTTTATTATTTTTAATAATTAATAATTTTGTCAACTAATCGCAAATCTAATTGAACGCAAATGTCAATAGCAATCGATAAGCCCTTCAAAAGTTAATTATTCAAATTGAGAGACATTTAATAACCAATAGAAGGAAGTAGTAAAACAATATCTTATTTGAAATATTAGTTATTAAAACAACAATTTAAATAATCTATAGTATTATCATTACTGTAGAGGTAATTGTTATATAACTCATAAAATTTATCAATTATATGCTAACATTTAATTTTATATAACAATCAATGATTACTAATCATCAGTTAAGTAATATATGCTATTGTTTAATCATTGATTACTAAACGTATTCTGTAACATACATTGAATATTTAACTGTCAAACTATTTATAAAAATACTCCAGAATTTTGAAAAATAGTGAAATTTAAATGTACAAAATGTAAGAAATATTTGCAATTAACATTGAAATGGGCAAAAAGTAACAACAACTCAATAATAAGTGTAAATACCATTGAAATGCAGTGACAATAAAGTATATGACTGTGATATATTTTAAGTAAAAAAGCACTAAAATCTCAAATCTCATACCCTATGAATCGGCGGATTCTGTGCCGACAAATAACGAATAGACGAATCATTGCGTAAACTATTAAATAATACCAAAGACTGTTTCAAACGTCTCATTGAATTATACATTTAGGACACAAAAAGACACAAATATTATGACAATTATCTTTAGGTTTTGTGAACACAATTTGAAATTTTGAAAGTATTCTCACATTTCAAACCTTATTACTATTTTCAAACCAATCTCGCGACAAGAATACACTCTTGGTTATTTCAGTATAATTTATTGAAAGCATTAAAATTAAAATTTAAAATACAAACTAATAATTTATTTTGCAAACTAATTATTCAAAAATATATTTACATCATATATATGTATAAAAATCAAATTGAATTAGTTTCCAATTAACGCCATATATAAATAACATGGTAGAAAACAATACAATAAAATGATTATAAATTATAGTTAAAATGTTGTGAATTCATTGCAAGCAATTCAATGCAAACGACACGCTCTGATGAGGAGAAGGATTAACAAAATAAAAAGCGGCGAAAGGATCTCCGAGTGTGTCATATGCTTTTGTCCCTCGAGTTTAAAACAGAGCAACAGTTTTGATAAAAACAATAGCAATATCTGATTGAAACTCCAAACGGCACGAAATAATGCCATTTTATATTTGCCGTCCAAATACTGGCGAATGAATACAATTATACAGAAATAGCTGAGCAGAGCGTCGCACATGAAGAGCGGCGAGTGGACGGTCCACCACCCCATCCACTCACCACCCAATTCGGTGTCACATTTCAGCGTTAATAGTATCGTATAGATTAGTATCGACACCAGAATCATGAATATCTCAAACACCGTTACGCCAAACCATTTGATTATCTCATCGAATGACAGAATCATTTCGATTGTTCACCAATTTATTGAGTTTTATTAGTTTTTGTGTGTTTTTTATTAATCTATATATTGTTCTTATATTTTGTTAGTCAATCCGTTGGCCGTCTCTTCGCGTGCTTTAAACTCTTCTTTCAAAAGTCGCAACTTTTCGCGCTTTTTGTTTCGTTTGGAAAACTTTTCGGTTACCAATCGGTGCCGCTGTGCGGACACACTCTGGTCACCGTTCATCAATTGATCCAATTTATCCACAAGAAGTTCTCGGGCCAACACTCGGTTCCGGTGCTGCTCGCGATTCACGTGACACTTCACCACAATTCCTATTCATTTGTAACGAAAATAGTTTTATTTCTTGTTTACAATATAAGACAGTTATCACATGAACTGATCCACAGACCTGTTGGCAAATGAGTCAATTGGACACAATTGGAGAGTTTGTTCACGTTCTGACCTCCGGGTCCACTGCCGTGAATGAACTCCTCTCTCAGTTCCTTCTCATTAATGACCGGAACTTTTGATTTGTCGACTTTCGGCTTATTTAGCGGCCAATGGTTTGTCGAAAAAGCGACGAATATATTGTGACTAAACGTCGGATTCACTGCACGAATACATTGTTTGCCGTAATTGGAGATAATTGTTGACATTTGTTGTCCACAAAGTTTTAAGAGACAAAACACAGACACAAACAGAAACTAATGTTTGACTAAATTAAACGCTTTTTGTTGAGAAATNTATAATTTACATGTTTTTAGACTCAGAATCTTATATTACATAACAGTAAAGTGTTTATTTCTTGCGCTTCCTATCAAATCAGACATATTAATCTCAAATTCAGTATTTTTAAGTTTTAATACCATTAGTTATAATTATACATTTGTAATTGATTTAAAAGGAGTCTAAAACAGTACAAAATATTATTGAATTTGAAAACATTTGATAAATTGTAAACATTTTTTGAGTCAAATAAATCAAAAATGTTGACATACCATGGTATCATTCTATGAGAATTTAAACTCAAATCTTATAAATGAAATTTATATTTCCACTTAATTTTATAACATTCAATATATTTTGCAAATATATTATTAATATATTAAATAATTGAGAGATCAATGAAACAAATCTATTGTTTTAAATTATATTTAATATCACAAATAGATGTGTTATTATTTAGACACAAAAACATATGCCATAACTCTAAATTATATTACCAAGCTAAAAGTACTGGCAATTTATATTAAAACTAAATATCAGTACCCATTAATTATATAATTTGTACACGTTATAACAATTAAGTATAAATAGTTAGACATTTATTAATCATTTGCTTAATATTTTCACATAATATTAGTTACAAATATATATTTTCAAATATAAATATTGTTTAATATAAACAGCAGATGTTGGATATCTCTCTAATGGCTTTTTTATCATAAAAATTTGCAATAATAACCAAAATTGTTGTCTCAATTGAATTAAATATTATATATTTGAATCAAAATATCTGAAAACAAACGCGTCTTTATAAAGATATCGCGTTATATCTAGAAATTCAATACAAACTTTAGTTTACATTAAAAATTTTGTTTTTCTGGTCTTAAAATACAGTAAATATTATTTTTAGAATAAAATTTGAAACTATAAGCCATAAAACTATTGACCATTTCTTCTTAAATGTTTGCTTATATTTAAGGATCAAATTTAATGAAAAAATAACTAAAACCATTGGAAACACTATCGCATGTGTGAAAATTCATTGGAAATAAATTATTTATAGCCTATTATCATAAATATTGGAGTAGTTTTAGTGTTTGCACAAATTGTTTTGGCTATAAAAGCATTTTTTCGTTAATTTTGAATTCAAAGTTTAAATGTTTAAATTTTAAACAGTAATTTGAAATCCATTCGAGGCATTGATTTTCAGTGAATCCTAATTTCAGTGATCCGTTGAAATAACTAAATTTTATTCCCATTCATTGAAAAACAGTTATTCTGTAAATTAACACCACTTTTAACGATTTCACATTAATTTTGGTAACTATTTTCCATGAGAGAGAGAGAGAGAGAGAGAGAGAGAGAATATTTATGATAATAGGCTATAAATAATTTATTTTCACACATGCGATAGTGTTTCCAATGGTTTTAGTTATTTTTTCATTAAATTTGATCCTTAAATATAAGCAAACATTTAAGAAGAAATGGTCAAATGTTCTGCAATAGCACTAATGTTAATAACATTTTGTTGTTCTTCTCCTTTAGAAAAACATGTTTAAAATGTTTGCAAAATTTTTCCATTAATAAAACTTTCCTATTATTCATTCAAATGAATGATTCAAACAATTTTTGTCAGTAAAAATTAAATGAAATATCATTTTAGGCAAAAGATGGTAAACAAACAAATATAACAAACATATTATAAGAAATAATTTCAAAAAAATTGAAAATACTTTTGGTATTTATTTAACGCAGTATTAGTTTATGTAATACTTTAATGTACGGAATATTTCGACAATAAATTCATTGCAAGAATATTAGATATTAATCTATTTGGAAACCATTTGTTAGTTTTTGTATTGTATTTATTTCGGGAAATCATTAATTAAGAGCAAAAGTGCAAAACAATTGCCCAAAAGAGTTAAACACAATAACAAATGTATTGAATACGTATGAATCAAATGACTGGCAAAAACAGTGTTAGAAGAGATGGAAAAATAAATAAATCAAGTGAAATGAAGTGCTGTGAACTGCGGTTCCCTCCCATTGCCAGCGTTACGTATGCCTGTGTCGAGTGTCTGTGCAATGAGATTATTCTGTGTCTCAATACATACCCGCCTAACAGTAGTTTCCCCTCAATATTCTGTATACGATATGCGACGTTGAATATGGTATATAAGGCGCTGTTGTGTCGCTCAGACATTACACACAAGAATTGTGATGTTTAGCGTCAACAGTGTTTGAACGGACATCCATTCACATACCGCTCCTCTCATAAGCAATCTTCGTCTTACATTGAATTGTGATTTCAATTCAACACTCATTTATTGCTGTATTTATTGTCATTCAATACATTCGTGCGAAATATATTTGTAGTTATTCTGTTGTATAAATAAAAGTCAAGAATCGTTAACATATATTAAAGAATTTATATATTCTTGTAATTCTGGTTTAAATTCTCGTTTCATTTTTGCGAATATATCACTGGATTATCGATAAAGATGTCGAAAGTAAGTCAAGTCCGACAAAACTATCATCAAGAGTCCGAAGCGGGCGTTAATAAGCAGATCAATCTGGAACTGTACGCCTCCTATGTATACCAACAGATGGTAAGTTTTGATCACCATTTCATCACCACATCATATAATGTGATTAATTGATTCAAATATGTTCATCAATAGGCGTATCACTTCAACCGAGACGACGTGGCTTTGAGTGGTTTCCAGAAGTTCTTTCAGGACTCGTCCAACGACGAGCGAGAACACGCCCAACGGCTGATGGACTTCCAGAACAAACGCGGCGGTCGTATTGTCCTCCAAGACATACCCAAACCCGTCAAACAGGAGTGGAGTTCGTGTCTCGAAGCCATGGAAGCGGCGCTCGAGTTGGAGAAGACTGTCAATCAGGCGCTCCTCGACTTGCATGGCATCGCCTGCAAGAACAACGATCCGCAGGTTTGCACACAGTTTTGCATTTTATTTTTACAATTAGTGTTACATTTATTGTTTGCGTTTAATTATGATTAACCTTCGCATAAAATATCCTATAATTTCCTATAAAACTCCTTGAAGTTATTAAAAGCTCTAAAAAACAATTAATGCAAAAAATAAAAGTGGAAATCAATTATATCCACAACTATTAGTACATTTAGTATTTATCCTATTATTATAGAACCGGTAGTTAAACCATAAAAACTTTGAAATACACTTACACTTATACTTCACACACACTAACCATTCAATATTTGCATTTGACAGTTCCAGGACTTCTTGGAGACCCATTATCTGACGGAACAGGTGGACTCCATCAAGAAGTTGGCCGATTACGTGACTAATCTGAAGCGTGTGGGTTCGGGTCTGGGAGAGTATATGTTCGATAAGGAGACCCTGGGCTAAACGGCCGGCTCTGCCCGTCGCTCGACAAACGCTCGGCATTTCAATGAATTTATTATTAATCAAAATCCAAATTTAATTATATTTACCGAACAGAAAAAATAGTTGCTTAGTATTTGTCTATAATATTGAAGTATTATTATTATTTTATCAAAAAATATTGTAATTTGTAAAAGTAAATTAGAAAACTCCTTATATTCACTCAATGTTTGGCAAAACACAAGCAAACGCTTATTATTTTCAATAATCTTTATGTTAATTTTGCATATATTCTATTAAAACAATGATTTAAATAAAATTATATATTTAATACATTAAAAACATCATCTATTTTATTAATTTTCAGTTTCATTATTAAAAATTGTTGTAATAATTATTGCAATCAATCATAACATTAGCATTTGATTACAACCACAATATCGTATATAAAATTCAACAGAGATTTAAACTCATTCAATACAATAGAGCTCTAAAAATATAATGTATTATAAAAAAGCAGCTAAAATACCGGTAAAAATGAAATCCCGACTCCGTATTAAAAAAGGTCATTTTAAAAGCAAAACAAATTAAATGGTAAACATAAATGCATAATAAAAATACTATTAAAAAATCTTATCTAAAAATACAAATTCAATATCACATAAAAATAAAAACAGTTAACAAATTGAATGAAAAATAGTTGTCTATATGTTATACATGTCTAAAACAACAACTCTTTTTGTTCAGATAAAAAGTTCAGTTATATTGCATTGAGTTAATGGCTTGAATTTGAGGTGCTCTTCGATAAACTGACACAAACACCGAGAGGTCGGACAGTGTCTGTGAGTTGTTGGCAACGGTGCGACACTAACGCCGGCCGAGTCCGCGTGTAATGGCATATTCAGGTCAATCTTGCGCCGCACAAAGTCCTTCACCCATCGCTGACTGTATCGAAGCAGTAGTTTTTCCGCGTATTTCTAATCCATAATAAATAATAAATACGACAAATGATTCAATGCATAGCTCAGCGGCTAAACAATAGTTACCTCTTTCTGAGACAGCGATTTCGGTTGCGATCCAGTGATTGTAATATCAGATGTGTTTATATCCATACGTGATATTATAGTCGACGACGAGTGGGAAACTTCACCATTTGTTGGCTGACTCTCATTCTCGAGCATATCTTTCAAGAATTTCTATTATTCACAATCAATGATATGAATTAATTAATTGAATTGTTAGTTACTATCAAACAAATTATATATTGTCATAAAAATTGTTGTCAAACAATACTCACAACACAATACGTGACATCAAAATAGACAAAAATAAGATTGATTTTATGACACGAGAGACTTCCTCTGTCGTCGACGCCGAGCAAAATATTATTCTTATAAAGCATTCCATTCACTTGTGATATACATCTCTCCAGCATATGGTAGAGCTATAGAGGAATCAACACAACAATCAGTTATTGTAAAAACAGTCAACAAATTGTGTTCAACAGAATCTGTGTCTAATGTATTGCCATTTACTTTGACTTTGAGATACATTGTGGCGAATATTCCAAACACATTGATTACGAGCCAAATAACTCCCCCAACGAAAAGGGGTAATCCTTTGATCCCAGAGAACAATAGCGATAATAGTATTATGAAACCCAATGTAATCCACATAACGAGCATTCGCTTGTATAATGTTATGTAGAGATTGAATCGCAAATCATTAACCAATACTTGAATCGCTGAGACATAATCCTCAACAGTGAGCTATAAATAACAATCAAAAATATTAAATTCCTATGTTTTCAGTACTTTGTGTTCTGTTAAACATTTAAAAACATGAATAACAAAACCAAACCAAAATGTTTGTCTAACAAAAAGTTGTCTACAAAAACAAAACCAAAAGTTATGAACAACTTTCAAATATCATTACAAATGAATAAATTAAATACAATGATTGTTGAGCGCAGACAACAACTAAATAAACAATATTGAGGCCAAAGATTATAAAATCATTAATTATTCAATAGTGTGTGGGTTTTGAATAATTACAAAATTATACAGTATTTCTACTGTTAATTGTGGTATACTTTTATGCAAAATATTTCAAAGAAGACACAACTCTAGTGAGAGTTTATATAAATTTCTCTGTTATTAATCATAGCATTAAACATGACTTACAGATAGAGACTGTGCCATAAGCTCTTCGGGGACTAACTCTGGTCTGAACACTGCGGGTGTAATCCACGCACAGCTGTCATTGACTGGCAATAACGTGATCCACATAACGAGCATTCGCTTGTATAATGTTATGTAGAGATTGAATCGCAAATCATTAACCAATACTTGAATCGCTGAGACATAATCCTCAACAGTGAGCTATAAATAACAATCAAAAATATTAAAATCCTATGTTTTCAGTACTTTGTGTTCTGTTAAACATTTAAAGACATGAATAACAAAACAAAACCAAAATGTTTGTCTAACAAAAGGTTGTCTACAAAAACAAAAGTTATGAATAACTTTCAAATATCATTACAAATGAATAAATTAAATACAATGATTGTTGAGCGCAGACAACAACTAAATAAACAATATTGAGGCCAAAGATTATAAAATCATTAATTATTCAATAGTGTGTAGGTTTTGAATAATTATAAAATTATACAGTATTTCTGCAGTTAATTGTGGCAAAACTTTTATGCTAAACATTTCAAAGAAGACTCAGGTAGTGTGAGTTAATATAAATTTGGCTCTTATTAATCATAGCATTAAACATGACTTACAGATAGAGACTGTGCCATAAGCTCTTCGGGGACTAACTCTGGTCTGAACACTGCGGGTGTAATCCACGCACAGCTGTCATTGACTGGCAATAACGTGATTATTAATCATAGCATTAAACATGACTTACAGATAGAGACTGTGCCATAAGCTCTTCGGGGACTAACTCTGGTCTGAACACTGCGGGTGTAATCCACGCACAGCTGTCATTGACTGGCAATAACGTGACGATCACATCGCCGTTTGCTATCATTTCAAACACATATCAATTAATTAATTAGAAATTAAATTAACACTTAATTTCCTATCAATTGTCTTACAATAGCCATTGCTCTGAGCAGTGGATGGATGACTGCATTCATTGAAAGTATTGCCATTATTTGTGTCTTTGAGCGATACGTTCTGAAGAGTCTTAACATTTGATTCATGGCTTGACTCGCCATCAGTTGCCATAATATTATTATTATTATTGTTATGGCTTTTCATAAAACTTTTATCGATAACTTTATTGCTTTCGACATTTGACATAATGTTTGCATCCGTTGTCCGATCGCTTGCATTAAGTGGTAAACCAATAGATATCTGTGTGGAAGAGTTGGCGGACGGAGACGAAGAGGCGGCCAATCGTTTGGCGTGATATTCAGTGGTGGCGTTGATCTGTATTGAGTCCGTCGGTTGGATTGTAGCGCAACCGCCGCTCGACTCGGGCGCCGACGGCGACGGCATTTCCAGCCGATACTCGTCGGTCACCACCGCTTCCCCATCATTAGCGCCGCCCTCTTCGCCGAATCTGATCCAAGACTTGCGATCGGATCCCACATTAGTGTCCCGATCGTCATCTGATGTGTTGTTCATAATCGTTGTTATTTGAGACCAGAGTTTTGTATGATTTTGTTGTCAAACAATACTTTAATAATCGTTACATTAAACTGTAATTTAAGACCTGATTATGTCTTTCAATACTTTTATGAATACTTTTCAATCAATTTGTGATTAAATAACAAACACTTGAGACGAGAGATAAATACTTTGCGCTTTTGATTTGTATATAAAATGTATGCAAAACAACACAAACGTAACAAACAGTGAATTAAAATACACTCAAAACATGATTATAAACAACAAAATAAAACACTTTATTAATTGTAATTAAGGATTGAATTTCAAACACAAACCCAAATGAATGTCAAAACAAGCAAATAATGGCATTATTTTGTGGCCAAACGTTTCACTGCCTATAAAAACATTGGACACAAACTTATGGTTATTATAATCACACAAATAATGATAATATCAATGCTTTTAATGATGGCATCAATAAAACCATTAAATGGTTTACACAAAGCGTTTCAATCAATTGATTGTAAACCAAAAACTATAACAAAAAAACTTAAAATGAAATAAAAGTGAAAACAGTTTTAGCACTCAATTCATACACAAAAACACTTTTATTTACATTTTTGTGTTTATTTGAGGCCAAAACACAATGCAATTCAAGCCATACATTGTAGTGCTGTTCACACATAACGTCTGTCATGTATTCGCCATTAAATCGCGATTTAAATACAATTTAACAAATTGTTGTGTTTTTAATAATATTTTAATTAAACATTTGATTGTTTGTGAATTAATTATGCATTTTATTCATAAGTTTATTAGTTGTGGTCAAAGAAAACATAACACAAGACATAAGAGATGTCAACACGTAATCTATGGTCAGATAAAGAGGTAAATATCGGAGCAATAAATAATCGGCACATTTTGAGGACACTTTGTGGCCAAACATGTGGACCGACGGCGTCTTAATCGTGTTTATATCGATATTCACAGCACTTTTGGGCGAAGGTATCATCACTTGTATTAGTTATCATACAAATGGCTAATGATTTGATCACGTCTTAAGGGCTCACATGGCTTATGGTCTACAGGACTGACAAATACAAGCGATTGAAGGCTGAAGTGGAGCGACAGTGCAAACGATGTATGCAATGGTGTGGACACAGACCTGTCCTCTCCAGCAGACAAACTCTCGTTGTTATCGGCGGTTAAGTCGCGCATCTGTTGCCCACACCGGCCGCCGGCGTACGGGTGGACACAGGTGTAGCTCATTGTGATGTCCGCCACTCATGAGTTGCGTTAAGATCACTGATAACTGATCCCAAGAGTTTGTTTGCCAAATGAATACATTGAGTTGTCTTTGAGTTTAAAATGTTTTTTTCGCGTGAAATCCAGTGGAGAAGAAGAAGGAGACCATCGGAGAGACCAATGATAAGCAAATGAAGAAGAAGTTGGAGCGCGAAGAAGAGAAGCTCAAGAATCACAACAGGGATCTGTCGTTAGTGAAGATGAAGTCCATGTTTGCTATCGGCTTTGCCTTTACAGCATTGCTTTCAATGTTTAATAGTATGTAAGTAATGATCGCATCCACGAACTCAACCAATGATTTACATAAAACCTATTCAAACTATCGATACTAATCATTAGTCTATTTGTTTACTCTAAATATGAACATTAGTTTTGATGGCAGAGTTGTGGCCAAATTGCCATTCATTCCCATATCACTAATACAAGGCCTATCGCATCGTAACCTCAATGGTGACGATTACACCGACTGTTCATTCATTTTCCTCTATATTCTGTGCACAATGTCTATAAGACAGGTATGACTTACTGTATATCACAGTAGTTTTGCATTCATTGTAATGGCATTTGTTTGTCCATTCATTACACACCAGAATATCCAGAAACTGTTGGGATTCAGTCCGTCGCGGGCCGCCAGCAAACAGGGCGGAAACATATGCCGTAGTATAAGTCGCGGCCAATGATCGGGTTTTGGTCTAACGTGTTGTACTCATAATATCCACTCCACGCGCCTTTCAATTTGGCCGAACCAAAGGACGGCACTCTATGAGCCAATTGCGGGTATATATGAGAGTCGAAGTACGAGTAATCCACGTCCAGATTGCTTACATCCGGCTCTTCGCTCTATACATGAGATGCAATACATTCAATGTTTTTGTTTATAAAGGGTTTAAGAAATTGTCAAATGTATAATCGATGGCCATATTTAACATTATTGAAAGGCTGTCACCGGTGTTGGTGTTAAATATGGGAAACGTTATAACATTTACTAATCACATGCCATGTTCTCATTTTAATGATAATTGCTTACATCGCTGGGATTTCGGCCGCAAATAAAATTTCCTCCCAAACCCTCTCTGCGACAATAGGCTGAAGACGGGTCGATGAGGAGTGGAAAGTCGATTCCGGGTCCGTCCGGGGCGTTGAATACATACACATATCGTTTACTATTATTTGAACGGTTAAGTATAAGTTTTGTGTCTAACGTAGAAAACATTGTAAGACAAACCGGGGCTCAACAGGGAGTAAATGAGATCTAATGCCTCTCTTCTTGCCGTACTCTAACTTGTCTGCAATGAATGCTGAGTTCGCACCGCAACACACGATTCCCATCGCAAACTCCAATTGCTTTACGTAACCGTCGGGTTGTCTGACAATCACGTGATTGACTCGTTGTATAGCGTCGCCGGACTGGTCGGTAGACAACTCTACGTTCACTTCGGACTTGATATTAAAGTCCAGAATGTCTGCCTGAAGGTACTCCACGCCCAGTGTCTGGGCTTTGGTTTTCATGGCTAATAGCAGAGCCCACGGATCAAACCATCCCTCGTTCTGAACACCATAGGAGCCGATGGCTATACCGTCGGTGTTAAGCCACGGAAACTTCTCCTTCAAGCGGTCGGGTGTATAGAGTTCTACATAAGCGCCCAAATCTGTCTGCAATTTATGATTTTCAACCAATTGCTGAGCGCCTGAATTGGTGGCCAACACGAGGTACCCGTGCGGGTGAAACGACACGTCCGGCGGTTCGTTATCTAAAACACTCAAATGCTTCTTCACGTCCCGCAAGAAGTCGATGCCATACATAGACATCATTATATTCTCCTTCAGTGAGAACTGTTGGCGAATACCACCAATCGATTGAGTGGTCGACGCTCTCGTATACTAAACAAATGGTTAAGACATTTGATTAAACATATAGTCGAGAGAGAGAGAGAGAGAGAGAGAGAGAGAGAGAGAGAGAGAGAGAGAGAGAGAGAGAGANAGAGAGAGAGAGAGAGAGAGAGAGAGAGTTAGAGAGAGAGAGACTGACAGTGGGGTCTCTTTCGATGACAGCGCAGGTGAAACTTTGCGGTGCTCTTTGTTTGAGGAAATATGCAATACTTGATCCAATAATACCGCCGCCAAAGATGGCAATATCGACCTGATGTGGAAACGGCTGTTCATACGGCGCCCGATGGATACGACCCTCTTTAAGAAGGCTTAAGTCATCTTTGATTATATTGACGGCGCGTTTAAAACCCATTTGTTTGTACCGACGCGTGAAGTATTGCGGATATTTGAAACCAATCAACTCAGAAGTGTTGCCCTCATCTGTGGACGGGTCGTAAACGCCTTCATTGGGGCCCCACTTGTACTCATCCGTCTCCACCTCTTTGGCCGTCGACTCGACACCACTTTTGTCATCACTTCTCACGTCAAGTGATTTGCTGTCCGTCTTATTGGACACACTTTTGTCACTTTCATTGTTTTTGTTGTCATTATTGTTATTACTATTGAATACAATTGAATTTATGCTAAACTGACGGCAAATGTGATGATTATTGCAATTATATGAAAGTTTTATCAATCGTTGATAACATTTGACTAATTGTGACATTTCTGTCGATGAGATGATTGTGACAACAATTGAGTGATTGTTCACAACATATGAGTAAAACTCGATTCAAATGATAATCAAAAAGCAATCAAATGTTGAACTGATTATGTTTTGCGAGAAAAACAATGTTTTGGTTTTGTATGGATTTTGTAAACATTTGAATGTATGAAACGATAAACACGTGAGAAGTTTATGGCATTTAAAGCACATGATCAGAAGTGTTGCCCTCATCTGTGGACGGGTCGTAAACGCCTTCATTGGGGCCCCACTTGTACTCATCCGTCTCCACCTCTTTGGCCGTCGACTCGACACCACTTTTGTCATCACTTCTCACGTCAAGTGATTTGCTGTCCGTCTTATTGGACACACTTTTGTCACTTTCATTGTTTTTGTTGTCATTATTGTTATTACTGTTAAATACAATTGAATTTATGCTAAACTGACGACAAATGTGATGATTATTGCCATTATATGAAAGTTTTATCAATCGTTTATAACATTTGACTAATTGTGACATTTCTGTCGATGAGATGATTGTAACAACAATTGAGTGATTGTTCACAACATATGAGTAAAACTCGATTCAAATGATAATCAAAATGCAATCAAATGTTGAACTGATTATGTTTTGCGAGAAAAACAATGTTTTGGTTTTGTATGGATTTTGTAAACATTTGAATGTATGAAACGATAAACACGTGAGAAGTTTATGGCATTTAAAGCACATG